AGTGAAAATTGCAAAGCCTCAGTTACCTTTATCTACGAAGCCCGTTTTATTGTCTCAATTCAGAATTGAGTGGAGCATTTTCTCAAATAAAGCCTCGCTCTCAAATAGTAGGCACGGTTTTAAATAACCTTGATGATCTTCAGGATGAAAGGTGTGTGGAGCTATTATCACATCAAACCCACGGAGTAGACTTTACGGATTTACGAATTTCCTGATTGCAATCATAAGATTGATGTAAACATGTAGGGCAATGCATCCACTACCTAATGTGATTGATGACAAATCCCCACAATTTGCACTACATTGCTCTAGTCAGGTTTCGGCAAGGTTTCCGATTAAACCTTAAGAGAACGAATACCCGCTTGAAAATCTAGAAAATTACGAAGACCCTCTGCAACCTGTACAAACACGTGCAATCAGGACAACCACTGCAGTGCCGTATGCTTGGAGCGCGTTTTCTTCACCAAAGTAATAAGATTTAGGGCCTTAGCAAGGAAGGGAGAAAGTGCTTTGATCTGGTTATTGCGCTGTAAGTTGGGTCAAGGAGTGCACAAAAAGTGTTTGCTGAACGCAAAATTATGAGAAACAAAAAATTGTTTGCTAATCGGAGACTTGGGGTCTCCCGTAGGTCTCCGCCTGAGATCCAAATCACAAAAAGGTACGGCGATGTGGCCTTTATATTCATTCTATGGCATTTGCCAGATTTAGTTGGATCACGGCAGTGAGTAATTCACTATGCCTGGTGAGTTAACGACAAGAACCACTCTCCACCTTTGTAGTTTGCTTCTAAGAGAACGAAGGAAGGCTTTGGTAGGAACGGTAAATTCTGCCAACCGAGATCAGCTAGCACCGGAGATGTAGCTGTAGCAATATGGCGCAGCACTTTTAGAACGATAAATAGAAAACACTTGTTTCACCTTTTTAGGCAATTAGATGATGTATTGATCGGTACAAGCACTATTTGAGAGTCTTGGCTACTTGGTTAGTGTCAAATCTTTTCATCTAATACAAAAAATATTCACCAATCTTTTGCTTTGCAAAGCCGGCTCGGACACAACAAGATGAAGCTTTAATCGCTTTTGTATTGTTCATAACTTTCATGGATAACAGCTATCCTTCTATATTCTAGCTCGCCACCACATCCACTGCTGTGAACTTATAGCTATTAATCGCTGATTATTCGATAAATTTTTGCTATTGTCATGAGGTGCTAGTACGGATGACTCTTTTAAAAAAATGCAACATCTCGTTCCATGGTATCTCTTGTTAGAGCAAAACCATGAGAAATTGGAAAATAATGGCAAAATAATATTG